GATGAGGATGAAGATGATTTTGCTGATGATGAGGATGATGAGGATGATGGCGATGATGACGATGATGGCACCCTCCCCATGCGCCTCACCCTTGCAGACAAGGGGTCGGCGGATTTTGCGTTGATATGCTCCACTACACGGGAAAAAAGGTTTTACCGATCAAGTGACCTCAAGCAGTCTAAAGTAGGAACTTGAGTGAGGCTCAGTTGAGGCCTGGTCCGAAAAAACGGTCCACATGGGGAAAGCCCACTAAATTGTGCGTTGATATGTCCCACTAACTTAGGAAAAGTTTTACCGCTCAAATGACCTCAAACAGTCTAAAGTAGGAACTCGAGTGAGACTCATTTGGGGTCTGGTCGAAAAAGCGGTCCACATACAAAACGCCGCTCAATTTTGCGTTGATATGTCCCACTACATTTGACCTCAAGCAGTCTAAAGTAGGAGCTTGAGTGAGGCTCATTTGAGGTTTGGTCCGAAAAAACGATCCATAGGGAAAGCCCAACAAAATTTGCGCTGATATGGTCTAAAGTAGGAACTCGAGTGAGACTCATTTGAGTTTTTTTCCGAAAAAATACGGTCCACATAGGGAAGCCCACTCAATTTTGCGGTGATATGTCCCACTAGAATGGAAAAACAGGTTTACCGCTCAAATGACCTCAAGCAGTCTAAAGTAGGAACTCGAGTGAGACTCATTTGAGGTCTGGTCCGAAAAACGGTCCACGTAGGGAAAGGCCACTAAATTTTGCGTTGATATGTCCCACTAAATTGGACAAAGTTTTATCGCTCTGACCTCAAGCAGTCTAAAGTAGGAACTCGAGTGAGACTCTCAAAAACGGTCGATATAGGGAAAGCCCACACAAGTTTGCATTGATGTCCCACTAATTTAAAAACAGGTTTACCGCTCAAATGACCTCAAGCAGTCTCAAGTAGGAACTCGAGTGAGACTCATTGGAGGTCTGGTCCAAAAAGACGGTCCACATAGGGAAAGCCCGCTCAATTTTGCGTTGACATGTCATGTCCCACTAAATTGGAAAAAAATCAGCTGAAATGACCTCAAGCAGTCTGAAGTAGGAACTTGAGTGAGACTTATTTGAGGTCTGGTCCGAAGCACATAAAGGAACGCCCACTCAACTTTGCGGTGATATGCCCCACGAAATTGGAAAAAGGTTTACCGCTCAAGAGTCCTCAGCAGTGTAAAGTAAGAACTTGAGTGAGAAAGTGAGACTCATTTGAGGTCTGGTCCGAGGAAAACGGTCCACATAGAGAAAGCCCACTAAATTTTGCGTTGATATGGTCTAAAGTAGGAACTCGAGTCAGACTCATTTGAGTTGTTTTTTTCCCGAAAAAATCGGTCCACATAGGGAAAGCACACAAAATTTGGTGTTGATATGTCCCACGAAATTGGAAAAAGGTTTACCGCTCAAGTGACCTCAAGCAGTCTAAAGTAGGAACTTAAGTGAGACTCATTTGAGGTCTGGTCCGAAAAAACGGTCCACATAGAGAAAGCCCACTAAATGTTGCGTTGATGTGTCCGACTAAATTGGGAAAAGTTTACCGCGCAAATGGCCTCAAGCAGTCTAAAGTAGGAACTTAAGTGAGAGTCATTTGAGGTCTGGTCCGAGGAAGACGGTCCACATAGGGAGCGCCCACCCAATTTTGCATTGATATGTCCCACTAATTTCAAAACAGGTTTTACCGCTCAAGTGACCTCAAGCAGTCTAAAGTAGGAACTCGAGTGAGACTCATTTGAGGTCTGGTCGGAGGAAAACGGTCCACATAGAGAAAGCCCACTAAATTCTGCGTTGATATGTCCCACGAAAGAGGAAAAAGGTTGTCCGCTTAAATGACCTCAAGCAGTCTAAAGTAGGAGCTTGAGTGAGACTCATTTGAGGTCTAGTCCGAAAGAAGCGGTCCATATAGGGAACGCCCACCGCAAATTGTGCCTTACTCCCAACTGACATGGAAGTTCACATCCCCTTTCCAAGCGGAAAGTAATTAGTCTTTCTGCAGGGGTGTGTGCACCAAGCCACGTTAGTCGGGAGGGTATGTCCCACAAAATCCGTTTTGTACCACTTTGAAACCATGGGATAAGGCATTGTTTGCTGGTATCTACAGGGAGAATCGTATCATTGCAGGGATTTTTAGGTGCGAAACAGATTTCGTCCATCCACCTAAAAAACTCTGGAATGATGGTAACAACAACAACAACAAAGACTGGTTTCTAGTGGTTTCAAAGTGGTGCAGAATTTTGGACAAGATCCACAGTGGTACACAGTGTTTCAAAGTGGTACATCCACAGGTCCATTCGATGTCTTCCGCTCATGGAGTGGAATTGATCAAAGTATGTCAAAAAAAAAGGAAGTTGTGTCCCACTCAAAGTATGTCCCACTCAAAGTATGTCCCACTCAAAGTATGTCCCACTCACAGTATGTCCCACTCGAAGTATGTCCCACTCGAAGTATGTCCCACTCAAAGTATGTCCCACTCAAAGTATGTCCCACTCGAAGTATGTCCCACTCGAAGTATGTCCCACTCAAAGCATGTCCCACTCGAAGTATGTCCCACTCGAAGTATGTCCCACTCAAAGTATGTCCCACTCAAAGTATGTCCCACTCGAAGTATGTCCCACTCGAAGTATGTCCCACTCAAAGTATGTCCCACTCAAAGTGTGTCCCACTCGAAGTATGTCCCACTCGTATGTCCCACTCAAAGTATGTCCCACTCGAAGTATGTCCCACTCGAAGTATGTCCCACTCAAAGTATGTCCCACTCAAAGTGTGCCCACTCGAAGTATGTCCCACTCAAAGTATGTCCCACTCAAAGTATGTCCCACTCGAAGTATGTCCCACTCGAAGTATGTCCCACTCAAAGTATGTCCCACTCAAAGTGTGTCCCACTCGAAGTATGTCCCACTCAAAGTATGTCCCACTCAAAGTATGTCCCACTCGAAGTATGTCCCACTCAAAGTATGTCCCACTCAAAGTATGTCCCACTCAAAGTGTGTCCCACTCAAAGTATGTCCCACTCAAAGTATGTCCCACTCGAAGTATGTCCCACTCGAAGTATGTCCCACTCAAAGTATGTCCCCCACTCAAAGTATGTCCCACTCGAAGTATGTCCCACTCGAAGTATGTCCCACTCAAAGTATGTCCCACTCGAAGTATGTCCCACTCGTGTGTCCCACTCAAATCGGAAGTATCTCAAAGTATGTCCCACTCAAAGTATGTCCCACAAAGTATGTCCCACTCAAAGTATGTCCCACTCGAAGTATGTCCCAGTATGTCCCACTCAAAGTATGTCCCACTCGAAGTATGTCCCACCCACTCAAAGTATGTCCCACTCAAAGTGTGTCAAAATCGGAAGTATCTCAAAGTATGTCCCACTTAAAGTATGTCCCACTCGAAGTATGTCCCAATCGAAGTATGTCCCACTCAAAGTATGTCCCACTCAAAGTATGTCCCACTCGAAGTATGTCCCACTCGAAGTATGTCCCACTCAAAGTATGTCCCACTCAAAGTGTGTCAAAATCGGAAGTATCTTAAAGTATGTCCCACTCAAAGTATGTCCCACTCGAAGTATGTCCCACTCGAAGTATGTCCCACTCAAAGTATGTCCCACTCAAAGTATGTCCCACTCGAAGTATGTCCCACTCGAAGTATGTCCCACTCAAAGTATGTCCCACTCAAAGTGTGTCAAAATCGGAAGTATCTCAAAGTATGTCCCACTCAAAGTATGTCCCACTCGAAGTGTGTCAAAATCGGAAGTATCTCAAAGTATGTCCCACTTTGGACCACGGTGGGCCTTGCTCTTTCGAGCTTCAGGTGCGAAGCTCCGGCGCTGCGCCTCGGCGCCAGACCTCACAGGCGGACTGGGATCCAGCGGTCCAGCGGGATTTTGTTTGGATCAAGCGCGTGGGGTTTCGATTGGCCCATGTCTTGTGGGTAAAACACGTCTCAACCTTTAGCGCTTAAAAACAATGGAGAAAATGCGTTGGGTGTGTATAAAAAGCTGAATGCGGGGGCCATTTGCTCTTGTGTTGGCTTTCTGGAAAGCTGCAAAGAAGTGGGGGCGTGATTCAAAAAGCGCTTGGCCGGCAAAAGCGATCTGTTGGCTTCCTGTTAGGCGTCCAGCCTACGCTGGAAACCCGAGACAAGCTGATGGCGCACAGACATGGGAGCTGCAAGCCATGCAAGTACTTCGCCTTCATGCCGGATGGATGTCGCAACGGCAACGCGTGTCGTTTCTGCCATGTCTGCGACCAGAAGCAAGCCAAGAGCGTGTGGAGACGCAATGGCAGGAAGGGCAGGAAGACGGTGCGCCGAGTACCAGACCATTTGAGGCCCTAGGTCGGAAGGGCAAAAAAGCCCATTCTGAAGGCTCGGGGTCCCCGGTCTCAGGACTTTGGTGCATGCCAATGCTTGCCTCCGCCTTGGCAAGTGCGCCAACATTTAGTTCCGGATTTGAGCTGGCCATGCCAACTTCACAGTTCCTTTGAGCAGGTGAGCAGCTTACTCGCTTGCCCCCTGTTCCCGCCAGTCTTCCTTGGCCTTGCAGTTTTGTCGCCTCAACGAGTCACCAGTTTCAGCAAGCGGCTAACAAGCGACAGGCCGCGGAAGGCTTTTGTTCCAGCCGAAGGCGTGTTCTCAGTTGGCATCAACTGGACTGCGTTCCTGCATTGGCTATGTCAAGCGAATGAAGGTCTTGCCAGTCCAAGTACGCAAATCCGTCGGAGCGCCGAGAATCTTCCATGCGCCAAGATGCAAAAAGGTGGCGTCGCAGACATTAGGCTTAGCCCGGGGCAAGCGTGTTCCAATTGTTTGCATAGTTTCAGATTGATCTGGGTCCCTTCGAGTGGTCAAAATCTCACTCTTGCGGCTTGTTTCCCTCTCAGAACCCACCATTTGGGTGATTTTGAGGACGGCGCTGTACGGACCCAGTTGGGAACACTTATCACACATCCGATGTCCTTGCCAAGAATGCCAGTTCCAACGGTTGCCAAGGCGCAACCCAGAGCAACGAAATCGACAACGCCTCCTTCATCGCGCGCTTCCGGCTTTGATTCAACATCCGCGCGGCTCCGGTGGAACGGCCGGAGCATGGTGCCGACTTGTCACTCATTGGGGAGGGAATTCTGCAGGTTTCGTCGGAGCCCACAAGGCAAAAAAACAACTTGTAGGAGTCCCCTGTCCAAACCGGCGGACCGTTTTCAAATGTTGGGTTTTCTTCTGGTTACACAGGGCTCCTTAAAAAATAAGTTTTGCGTGTTTGAAACATGTTGCTTTTTGAACACCAAAATAAAGGGACACCAGCATTTACAAGTTGCAACGTTCAGGTGTTTCTATTGTAAGGATCCCTGTTACACCAACCTAACGGGGTACTCCGAAGAATTGCTCTGTTTGAAGTTGGCCCCAAGGCAACTCGCTGCAGGTCTTTGGACCCCCTGCTGCGCGAAGAGGTGCTGCTGAGTGCTCCAGAGGAGATTTGGCTGGTCAAAAATAGGTGCCCAAAATGGAACCCTCATTTGACTGCGGGGGCCTGCGAGTACCTGTGGGTGTAGCTTTTTAGGATACCATGGTTTGGTTGTTTTACAGGAAAACCAAGAAGCCCGCCATGTTCGGGGGCGGCCCCCACAAAAAGAAACGCCGTCCCGGTTTGGGGGGTTGCGATGTCACCCAGTTGCTTGGTTTCTTTCACAATCCGATTCATACGTTTCGGTCGCATTGAACAAACAATCGCCCGGATAGAATCCACACCTGGTACGTGCCCATCGACAGGTTTCGGGAGCTCACCTGTCCTTCGTGGGGTTCTGCCCAGATAGGTTTGCTGGAGCTCATCTTGCATACGAGCTCATGATGTGGGCCCTTTTTCTTGAGGATCCCCTGCTTGTATTGTAATTATGGTCGAATGTATAGAGCTTGGTGCCACTTTAATGTTAACCCCGGATCTAAGTAGAACCCCTTGTTGATTACTAGGAGGGTGTCCCCTTTTAGTGGGGATTCGTCACTTTTGGAGGGAACACCCCCCTAATAGTGCGACGGGTTTATTCATCCTGGGTCAACATTAGGTAGTTTGACTGAAGTAGATCTCAGTTTGGAAGCAAAGCCACGCCAGGGCCGCGGACTTGACGGGTAACTCTTCAGGGGGTTCCATTCTACGACAGAGATTCGACATGGGGCAAGCCTCGCGATGGAGCTCTTGTGCAAGCGCAGCAGCCCCTTTTTGAGGCAGAAAGGAGGAACCAGGGTCCAAAAGGGAATTTACCCCTCTGTACCTTCCCAAAAAGGTACCTTCTCGATGGTATGTTTCTCCCGTTCTATGGAGGTGCTTTAAAGAAAAGGCTAAGGGACAGTTTTTGGTGATTCCCTTTGGAGACAAGCCCAACATCACCCGAATTGGTGGGGATTCCATGGTTGTTTTCAAGAACAAGCCACAAGACATCCGGATGATTTTGGGCTGATTCGGTTTGGAGAATGCTGTCCCACAAACCCCCTTTAAAACCCCTTTCAACATCACTCCAAAAAGCAAGCTTCAGGGGAAGAGAGTTCCCCATATTTCCACTCCCCCCCCCAAACTACCACCAAACTTCCCCAGGAGGAAGATAATCTCACTTTTAAAATCCATCAGACATATGGGGAACAAGGGGACACACGTCCTGTAAACCATCCGAAGTAATGACATTTACACAGGGCTCCTTAAAAGATACATTTTGCCAATTTAAAGCATGGCTTTTCCACCAAAATAATGGGAAACCACCATTTACAAGGCAATGTTCAGGTGTATAATGTGGGTATGGGGCAAAAAATCAACCCCCCGAAAACCGCAGGTTTTCGTCTTTGCCATTTACCGATCGGGCAACCGTTCCATTTTGGGGTTACCAATTCTATTTTTGACCTGACCCACCGCCAGGTGTTTCTCAACGGTAAATAGGGGTAACCCTATTTTGACATCCACAGCTTCAGGTGTGTTTTTCATGTCAGGATCCCTGTCGAGCCGGTGGTCTCCGCTTCCGCCCCCCAGCCGTTTCGAGCCGTGTCGAGACGAGGAGCTCCTGCGCACTCTGCCCGCGGAGCTGGTGGCGGAGGCGCAGCTCCTGCGGGACCGCGCCGCTCGGAAAGAGAGCAGCGGTTGCGTTTTTTTCCGAGTTGCTAGCCCAATTTACGTAGAACTCGTCCAGTTTCAAAAATTGGTTGGGGGGGGGGAAAACCTCCAAACTGTTTTTAAGGTTTTGGTTGAAATCAAGGTGTCCACTAAAGCCCCAAAAGGTCGAACTTTTTGCAGGGGGTCAAGAGCAACCAAGCATCCAAGTAGAACTCGTCCAGTTTCATAGGGTAGGGGGCGGCCTCCAAACCCCCCCCCCCCCCCGCCCTGCAAATGAACGGTTTGCTTGAAGTACTGGGCTCCACTACCCCTGGATAAGGGCCAAGTAAATCTGGGGTAATCATCAGTTCTTTTTTTCTTCTCGGGGGTGCCACCACCCAAACCACCCCCGAAGGAAAATTGCAACACCCCCTCCGTTCAAACCCTAGGTGAGCTTCCCAGCTGTCGTTGGAGGGGAGCTTTGACTAGCTTTTTTTGAGATTGTTGCAGGTTGCACAGGGTTCCTGCGAAAAACATACAAAAAACAAATCACCTTAGGGCCTCTTTCCACAGGAATTGATCTTCCATGTATCTTCCCACTGCTATGTTAGCGTACCCCAAGCCAAGGATTGAATGGGCTAGCCACTGGCACCATATCCAGGCTATGTGCCCTTGTTCGCCTGCTAGAAAAGAAAACCAGCCTCACCCCCTTTTTTTCTACTAACAAACAGGAGCTCACCCATGGTTTCCCTGATCTTCAATTTGGATATCAACCACTGCTGTGATACCAAAGGATTCTCCGTGAGAAATGGTGGGATGGTCCACTTACTTTCGGGTAGAATCCCCAGGTCGAACATGATTCGAAGCCGCGACATCGCAGCCGTGAAAGCCACCCGAGGCCTTCACCCGCATTGCCATGCGCCGGGATATTCCGCCCGCTGGGGGATCTCAGCGGGAGAGAACCGAAAGTCGGATTAGGAAAACCTCATGTGTTCCATCTTTTGGAGCAACGGGCAATTTTGTCTCATGTGTGCCATGGTCAAACACCCCTTTAGCACGTTACTAGAGATGGCATGAGTCCTTAGCATGTTAGACAAGAGTTATATAGGGAATACGACGACGGGAGCCATGACCAATGCGTTTTGGTGGCCTAAAGAATGTGAGCTTCAGTCAATTCTGGGTGAGTTGGAGGCCTCCTCCGCGACTCAATGAGGGTACACAAACTGGACAGACATCGGCCAGAATGATAATGAGGGTGTGTCACGGTGTGTTTGACTCTTTCTGGTCGGTTGCAAAGGGACACCAAAGGGACACCGACCATTTTGGGGGGTCCCCTAAAAAGTGAGAGATGATAAGGATTGTTGTGGATCATGAGAGAAAGACTTATCATTTTGAGCTCAACGGAGCGCGAAACTGGGGAGAGCGATGCGCGCGGGCATTTCACCGGTCCGCAGGCCGGACGCATCTCAATGCCTGGGCAGACCAACCAGGACTGAACTGGACGTCGGCCTTTGACCCAAAAGAGTGCGGTTTATCCTTTCGAGACTAGCCATAGTGTGGGTATGTAGGGCTGTTTTTGGCCTTGATTTGAAGGGGTTTTGCTAAAGGAAACGCATCGATTTTAAGGGCCGCGCCCATAGCATCCTCTTGGGCGCGCAAGGAGCCAGCTCCCCAGAGCTCGCAGGCGCGTTTCGAGGGCAGTTTCGCGAGCTCACTTGAGGAACCGAGTTCCTTCTTTATCCGTTTTGGGGTTCGGACCATGGCAAAGGGTTGCACTCTTTTTGGCCCAAAGGGGGCCACTTCAATGCGATGGGAACCTCTGAACAATCCAAGCCGTTGATGTTTGGTTGATGTTGGTGTTTTTTCTGGTGTTCTAAGGAACCTCCCAGATTTTCGCCCCAAAGATTCGAGGCCCCGCGACAGCACGCCCACTTGCTCATGATCGAGCCTGGACCTTGGCTTCGGACGGAGCATTTTCGGTGGACCTTGTTTGTCCAGATGTTTTCAGATGGACCCTTTGCGGGGGTCCGATTCGATCCCCAGGAGATTTCTATGGTTTTTCTGGGTTCCATGATTGACCTGGAAAGAAGAAGTGATCCATCTTTTGCTCGTTAAAGAGGGAGCAACCCCTTTCAATTGAAACCGCAGCCGGCTTCTCAAGAGAGGTGAAGTGGAGGGCAAGGGACTGCAGAGATTATCGAGGCAGCAGCTCTTGCATCACAACGGCAATGTGCGGCGATGGTCCGGGTCGGCAGCCCGGCATTTCCATACCAAAAATCCAAAGCGTCAGTGATGGAGGAACGCCGAACTGAGTCATATGTTCGCAATCGTTGACCAGAACCCGTGCTTAATTTTGACTTTTGGGGGGGGGAAGGTGGAAGGTGAGGTGTCCCCCTGGAGGTCTGAGGGGTCTCTGACCGCTTTTGGAAGCGGGGCTATGGCCCAGGCCATTTGAGTCACGCGTGAGGCCCATCGGACTCCAGCGCCGGCCTCCAGGCGCAACTCGGGGCTTTTTCTGCGAGCCTTGTGGCGAAACCCTTTTCGGTTCTGTTTGGACCACTTGGTGGCGAGCCAAGTTGTGTGACCTTTTTAGGCCAGTTGATTGAAGCTAAGGAAGCTAAGTCCACTCAGGTGAGCCTATGAATCAATCTCTCGTTTCTAGACTGGAAGTTGCGCAGCCTACGAGCCCAGCCAGGCCCCTTGCATTGCCTGTTGTATTTATGTCCTCGCGGAAATGAGGGGTTCAAGTCCCGACAAGCAGAGTGTAACCTCGACATTGGATTCATTCCAGGTTGTCGGGGTGTGGTACTCAGTGTGCTTCTCGGGGTTTAACCGCCCTCTCTCCTCGCGGATGATAGCGCCCCCCTTACTCTTTTCGAAGGTCAGCTACTGGGCATTGACTGTCTCTTCCCCAGATTGTTGGCAGAAAGCACATTTTGGCCGTGCTTTCTAAGCGGGGGCAATGTTGAGATGTTGTTTCATGAACCCCCTCGGTTGGTTTGAAAGGGAGGAAGCCAACCTCTTTCTTTTTTTGGGGGGGCGGGGAGGGGTCCGTCATTGTGAGGTATGTGGGCCACGTGGGGCATGTTCACACTTAATCGCATGGTATCAGCAAATGGGTGGCTCATCTTCGGGAATCGGACCGGGCACTCAGAATGGAGTTCTGACTTTCCTTTTGGTTTCTCTTTAAAACCGCACAGAGGTATCTCAAGAACAGACACACCCAAATGCTAAAGCAAAGACATAGCTCCCTTGGGAATTTAGTGGACACCCGCTTAAAAAGGCACAAAGCAGAACATGACTACGGGCGATTCCAAGTTATTCCGCCGTCCGAAACGGGGGGGGGGGGGGTTCGCTTTCAGGGGGCGGACTGAGCTCCTTCGACGAGTCGGACCAGCTGTCCGGGCCTCTGTTGCGATTGGGAGAGACCGATTTGGGTGTCAGTGTTCAAATCACGGCTTGCTTGCATTTGCACGCTTCCATGCCCTGTGACAATTGATTTTGCCGGGGATGTGGCTGAAAATTCAAAGAGCCGACCAGAGGTTTGAGCCACGCCCATGTTTGGAGACACGAGCTTTGAAAAGTGGAGGGAGGCCGAAAAAATATTCCAAGCAGAGCGTTCAATTGACGGCGATTTTTGACAAGGGGTTGCCCAATTGCAATTCATGTGGGCGTGGCTCAAAATTAAACAGGATGGGCAAACCGCGAGTTTTGGTCCATGTTTCCACTTACCAGGGTTCCATTTTGGTACTGGTTATTGAGCCACAGCCATGACCCTTCGCCATGTTCCTTCGGTTTGTAAACGTATTTTGCCCTGGATATGGGGGTGTCTTTTCTTTGGATTTGGGCCCACGAACTGGCGGTTCGTTTTCCTTTTGGTTTTCCGTTGGAGGTTCTCCAACCAAGGGGTACCCGCGAAAAGAGGCAGCCTCAGGTTGCTGCGCCTGGCGGACTTCGACGACACCACCGCGGTGCGCTGGGGGAGTCGGAAATTCCCGGGGAGAGCTGAGTTGCTGTGGCGCCTGTGGCGCTTTTAGGAATCCTTGGAAGAGCCTTGTTTGGGGTTGACAAAAACAGACCAATGGAAGCCTTGCAGTTTGTTTTGGAGAGGGAGGTTCAAACTTTCCCGAATGAGACAGCACGGTACATAGCCCTGTTCATTCCTGTGGTTTTGGGTAGACTCCTTCAGTTCGTTCAATGGGCGTGTCTTAGAATTGGTTGACCCCCTTGAATGGGGAGTGCTCGTTTGGCAACTATGAGAAAGGGGTTCCTCCTTCCAGCAAATAATCACCAGTGCAGTGCATGGCGCAGCTTGAAAGCAGGCGATTTGCCTTTCACAATACCCTTTCCGAAGCTGCAAGCGCTATGCCTTCAACAAATGACCTGTCCGGAAATTCCGCAGTGCGTGCCCGAACAGCATCATGATGCTTCCTCACAGGCAACAGGTCGGGAATCAACTAGTCGAATGCTGAGTTTCCAGTCTAGAGGTGACTGAGTGATTCTTTTTCAACGACAGGAGGTGCCACTCTCCCCGAGTGTCATCCCGCAACTTTGTCGTCCCAGACTCAGAGGGCTGAGGAGTCATCCCGATTGGGAGGAGTTCGGCAGACTGAGGCCTCATGTACCTGAGAGCGGAGGTCTCGACCATACCGCTCACCCGGCTTTGCTTCAACCTGTCTCTTCATCCAGTGACCAGGAGAAGTGGTCAAAGAAATCACCAGGCCTTAGTTGTTTTCCCTGTTTTTTTTGATCCCGCCCCTAAGTTTCCATTTGCACATTGGGGGAGTTACCATTTTGCTTGCCGTTAAGGATGTTTGGCCCCAGGAATGCCCTGCTGGGGCACTTCCTGATTCTGCTGTGCAAGCAGAGTGAAGCAGATGCGCCCTTAGACGCCCTGCCGCCACCGTGCCTCTTTGAGGCAGAGGCGCAAGCTCGCAGCCCCCTGGAAGTCCAATCAGTTGCTCGGCAACCAAATTGCCAATCGGCCTTTTAACCTTTTGATTTTCCTTGGTACACATGGGTGGGAGCCTCGTTTTTTTTTTGCCCACTTTTGGTTGGGCTGTTAAGAAACCCAGAGGAAGCCGTTGGCCGTTGGTTGCAACTACCGTTTAGATGCGGTTCCCAACAGTTAGGTGAGCCACGTGCTCAAAACCGATGCGGGTAAGAGGTTCGTAAGGGACAAGCCCCTTGCCATAAATCGCCGCGGAATTAATTCCGCCTTCTTGGTTCTTGAAGCATGGTTCTGGGATTACGACCATTTTTGTACAAAGGGTTTTGAGCAAGTGACTCAGGTGATCTTTCGCTTTTGTGTTTTCTTGGGTCACCAAAATATTAGGTTGGGTCCCAGCGGGTGCTGGCCATCTTGGCCTACCTGCTCCGCCGCGTGCCGCAGTGCGGGGAGTTCTTTGCACAGAAGCTGGCCAGCGAGCCGTGGATGAGCTCCTTCCAAGTGAAGCTCAGTTCAAGACGGGTCACCTCACCTCGGAAGGGTAGTCCCATGGTTTGTATGGGCTCATTGACCCATTTTTAAAGGGTCATGGAGAGACTCCAGGTGGGGCGTTTGGGTTCCATCCGTGAGAGGTTCCTTTAGCTGTTTCCCGCTGTTTTTTTCTTTTTAAGGAATCCGACCCGCAGATTTTCGGCGGTCCTTTTGATTTTCCGTTCAAGCTACAAAGAAGGGTACCGTTCCTCCCAATGACATAGCATTTGCGGGAGGTGCCTGGAAGATCAATTTCCTCTTAAATCAACCTGCTGTCAGGTGCCATGTTAGTGGGTGGGACCCCAAAGAAAACAGAGGCACGAACCTGTTCTGCTACAAGATAGGGTGCCCGAACACCAACACACGTTGCCCTCAACTCACCACTCGACCGCTCTTGCCCAAAGGACCTGGGACCAAGTGCGACAATGCCATTCTGACGGCCGTAGCCTTGTGTTTCGTTTCGTTCCCTTCTTCCTTTGTTTAAACTTTACAGACAAGCACGCACAACCAGCAATCAAACAAAGGAGACAGAGGCACAAACCTGTGCTGCAAGACAGAGTGCCTTTCAAACACCAAAAAACCCCGCGGGGCCAGCCGCGCGCAAACCACCCCCGTTTTCGTGTGAGTCACGGGGTGAGGAAGCCCACCAGTGACGGCAAGAAGTCCAAGACCGACCATCGGCTGCTGGGCAGCCTGGGCATCTCCATGTCCGAGCTGCCGGGAAAGTGCTCCATCAACCTGCTGATGCAGCTGGTGAATACCCGGCTGCGCCTGGGACGCGGGGCGAGGCGTCTGTCGTCTTTCCGGAGGGGGCCGGACCGTTTTTTTTTTTTTGGGGGGGGGTGTTGGTATCCGTTGAAAGGGGGAGCCAAAAGGAAAGCACCACATGTTTTGAAGGGTCACCTAAAAAGAAGACACCCCCTATCTTAGATCATTTCCCTTGACCAAATGATGGCAGAACAGAAGTTTACCTCCGAGGCTCAGTTTGGGCATGACCGAGGTACCTCTCCTCCTCCAGGCACGCGGCCTGGCTTCTGTCCCTGCTGCACGCGCTGCTGGTGCAGCCGGACGGCGCCAAAGAGATGAAGGATTCTTCGATGGACGACGAGATCCCCGACGCCTTGGTGGTGAGCGCCCAAAACGCCACCGCTCCGGCGGCTGCCGGAGCGACGAATCCGCCAGAGAGCTCCAAAAAACATGAGAGTCCGGCGGCGGAGAGGTGGAGCAAGATCACCCAGGAGATGCACAAGGTGCATGGCCTGTTGTCCAAAGAAAGCGTGTTGGCCCTGTGCCACTTCCTATGCCATGCGGGCAGTGGTCATGGCTCCAGCAGTGAGGGAGATGCCTTTCAGCTGACTGGAGACATCTTGGTGGCATTTGCCGTGTCCAGGACACTCGAGCCGTCCGGGAAGGGACAACCACGAAGCTGCAAGAAGCGCTTGGAATGTTCTTCACCAGGTTTTGGGTGCACCCTTTAAATCCCCAAGTTTTGATGGCGACCAAGCACACAACCCCCAAGTCGGCCCATTCTGTAAGCAGAACTAGCAGTCAATCGGTTTTAGCATGTTTTAGACGCTGCTCACCTGGTATACTCATTGTTCAATCGCGGCGAGCGTGTTGATTTTTGTTCTAATAGTTCCGGGATGCATCGGATAGTCTTCGATGTCCAGGCGTGAGTTGTGTGGCCCCCAGTTGTTCTTTCTTTCTTTCTTTCTTTCTTTCTTTCTTTCTTCTAGCTCCAATGAGTCATACTTTCCCATAGCTGTGTCGGATCATGGATGTTCCACCCGCCGGTATCCCCCAGGCAACCCAACACATTGGCTTGACTCGGCTTCATTGCCAAGCCAGACATCTGGGTTCCCTTTGCCGGTCCAAGTTCCGCGAACGCTTCCCCACACCCAGCTGTCAGCGCGTGCCTGTGTTTTTTCTCCATTTGACACATGCCCAAATTGGGGGAGGGTGTCTGGAGTTTGCCACAGGCCTCCAATGGGGGTGGGGGTGGGGAGGGGGGGTGGGGGTGCCCGTTAGGGTGTATGTTGGTTCGCCTCTTATCGTCTACTTTTTTTTTTACCTAGGTTATTTGGAATCCTCCCCTGCCCTCCCCCCAAAAAACAAAGCCGACACGTTTTTTCAAAGCCACTTTGACTTTCTTGCTCTTCCTTTGTTTATTTGGGGGGGGGGGGGGGCGGTACAAATATGGGTCTGAACTCGTCAAAAAATTGGAGCCTCTTAGCCCAGTGGATCCAAAGCGCCGACTTCGGCCGATTTTTTCTTCTTGGCGATCACAAGGGGTGGGTTTCTTATGGTTACAGTGAGCTGAAATCACTGGGAACAACCCCCCACAAACGCCATTTGTCTTGGCTAAGGGCGGTTTTCTTGGTGCGAGCTGAAATCACAAAAAACACAAACAGCTTCCACTTGGATCTCACGGAGTTTTTCAAAAGCGCCTTGGGTGTGTCGTTTGTTGGGGCCGCCCAACCAGAAATGGGCGGTTTGCCCATGCAGGCTGCTCCATGGGTTTTTCCAAGCACTACTGTGGATGGACGAAATCCGTTTCGCGCCACCTCAGAATCCCTGGTTTCTGATGATTCCCCTGTAAATACCGACAAACAATGGGTTCTCATGATTTCAAAGTGCAGGATTCTGTCCATCCACAGTAGGGAACCCCCTGTAAAAACCAAAAAGAAAGGGACATGTTCGCCTTTCTGAACCAAAACCGGGATTTGTTTTTTTTCCTTTAGGACCCACTTGGCCACGGTGCGCACCGAGCTGCTGCGGGTCTTGGGCACGCTGGTGCAGGACATTGAGCAGGGCTTGGCAGAGCTGGAGGCGGCGGGCGTGGAGGCCTCCACGGTGGAGAGCCGCTTCCTGCGGGTGGTGCGCACCTTGACGGAGGCCTGCGTGTTGCTTCTTTTTCTTTCAGGGGGGTTGAGATTGGGGGGGGTTTGGGGGGGGGTGGGGGGGGTTTGAGGGGGTTTGGGGGGTTTGAGTTAGACTGGGCCTTGCCCCTCCGCATGTTGCCATCCAGTCATAGGGTCCCACCAAAACCACCCTATTTTCAGTCAGTGTATCACTCCCCGAAAAGTGGTTAACCAATGAAGAAAGGAAATCATAAGGGCTAACTCAAATCATGTCAACAATCCCAGTAAATATGGATGGCAAAATGTGGACAGGACAAAACTTCATTAGATAGATGTTCACCGTCATGGCTCATGTGCTGACGGCTACAAGTGCAACAGACGTAGGCAGCAGTTCCAACTGACAGGGGCGACCGCTCCAACTAAATGGGCGACAGCTGCCACTGACGCAGCAGCAATCGCAACAGCCCCAGAAATCCGTTGCAACAGCCCTAGACTTCCGGAGCAACAGGCCTAAAAGGCCGTAGCAACTGCCCTAGTATTCCACAGCAATTGGCCCAGGCATTCCTTGTAAGGTAAGGTAGTTTCACCACTGTCCCGATAGTTTGACAATACCCATTGAAAAAGGTTGCCTTGTCACTCCACACTGCGTCACGCGGATCCAATATGCCGCTCACGATCAGCAACACGCTTTCCTCCGCAGATTCACCTATCGAGATTCGTTTGATGCATTTGCTTTTTCAGCTGGATGTCAATTTTAGACGGCCGCGCGGGCTTTCAGCTGTGTTTTTGTTGTTGCTCCTCTGGACTCCAGCAGGATTTGTGAGGCATGCCATTCTACATCGTCGTGATGCTGTCCAGCTGGCGCAAGATGGTGGTGTGAACCGGGTGGTATCAATCGCAAGCTGCGGGAGTGTTTCGAAGAGAGCATGCAAACAGATGCTGCGATCCTGTTAAAGGACTGCAACGCATGAGACCACCCTGCCAGTGCTCGCGGATGTCCTGCGATTTAAAACATAACCGGCAACACCAACAGCACCTAAACCGAACCTATCCTTAACCCACACACGACCAACATTTAGCATCTCCCATTTGAGTCTCACACTGACCCCCTGAGCTACTCATCCACATTTTACCATCTCGACTCATATTGAATTCTCTGTCAAACATTACGAATTGAATGTGTAACTCATCACTCGGTGCCCTATATCTATTACAAAATACAGTATTACCAGCAATCATTGTAATAGTATCTCGCAAAGTAAGTGGAAGCACTACTAAAATTTTCAGCACCTGATACCGATTGTGGGTTAGTATCTATTTTATCCAGCTCTTGTAGATCCATTGATACAAGCCACTGATGGTGATTGAATTTTGAGTTATTAATAGACCTTGTGCAGTGTTGTCTGATATGATTCAGGCAAATGTATTACTGTGTGCCGCATTTGTATTATAATGTTGATACATCTGCTTGAATAGTTGTTTTTCTGTTGTAGTCCAAGAAGCACCCGCTCCTGCTTGTAAATTCGCTATATCTGTTAAAATCGCTGATATTGTGTTCCCAATGCGATGTTATCGTGTTTTGATGACTATTAGCAAAAGTCACATTACCACCTACTGTATTGTTTAATATTGCTAGTCCGTTTGTGTTTGTTTCTATGTTGCCGTCGTGTGTTAAAGAAGAATTGGAACTAATACTCGTTTCACATGGAAAATACCCCACGCTGAGGGTTTCCCCCTCTCGATTGTTTTTGAAATAAACTTGACATATTAATAGTATTTAACGAGAGCGAACAATTCACAGGAAAACTATCTAACAGAGATGCTACATTGTTTAAAGAAAGCCCTCAAGGTAGTTGTTTTGATGGAAGCGACCATTTAGAACTATTCAAAGATCAAGAACTGAGAATATTGGACAGGCAAATGGGAGAAGCAATGATGAAGCAAGAAGCACACAGAACGCTTATGCAGTCCATGGGAGAAACACAGAACCGGCAACAACAACGCAACCGACGTAAGCAGAAGAACCAACAATAGCACAGGTGCAAAGAGGATTACAACAACGAACATAGAAACTTTATTACACAAGGCGCATTGTCTATTTTTCAATCGCTTAATGTTAGGCAGGACACCTTCAATTGATAGACCAGACAGCCCAGAATTAAAGAAATGATGAATGACAGCAAGAGAACTGCCGTTAAGTGTAAAAGAAAAGTTAATTATACCAAGAATTGAAGAACTACACCCAGACATTCAAAAAGAGTTTAACAACAAGCGTTTGAATTATTGAAATCAGAAAGGACAGACAACCACACATTTTTGTAATAATTTGACTGATGAGCAAAGCCGTGAATGGTTTTTATATTATGCAATTAATTCAGGCAACAGAGTTTGAAGCATTGTCTCATCTATCAAGACTTCATAAGAACGCAAAAGGCGATGTAAAAATATCAGTAACAGACCAAATCGCCCAAATGCATGGAGACCTAGTCTATTACAAATATATCGCCAAACCTCAACAAATATTAGGGGCAACTGCCAAAAACATGGCACCGCCTCCAAGTAGAGCATCGGGAAGCGGTGAAAGTTACTGAAAAGAAAGCTGAAATTCAATGATAAGTACGATGATGACGACAGTTTTTAAATACCAACACAGATACTATTCCTACAGAAACCAGAGAGACGCAAGACAGGTTACACAACGATGCAAACCAACCATGAAAAGTGACATTCGAAGCCGAAGCGTTTACGGTAAAGGAAAACCAAGACAATAGATTTAAAACAATGCTTAAAAACTTTTGACACAAGACGTACGAAAGAAATGAGCCAACAAGGACACAGGCAACACAAACACTGAAAAACAACGCGACGCAATGGTGTCAGCCTTTACTACAATGCTCGACAGCAATAAACCGCCAGAACCACCACCAAAGAAGCTACCCGACGAAGAGGACAGCGATGAAGAAAAAAAAGGGTTCAAGCTGACCAAAGTGATAGAAGTTAATGCTTTACATCGGCCTACAGTAGCAGATATAATATTCAACTTATCACACAGCGCAGATTTAATCAATCAGATAACGGCAGGAAATGCACAAGGAAGCAGTAGTTCTTCTAATGAAGGTATTAGTGTTCATTCATCGCCACCTGTTACAGTTACTACTTCTTCATCTGAGAGTCTAACAGAAATACCAGCACCAACTGAAGACGACGAAGAAGAAGAAAAGCAATATTTCAGTTTTGAAAAATTAGAACCTAAAACATATTGTATATAATGGGTGCTTTTCAAAGTAAAAGTACTGAAAATACTAGTACGGAAGACATTAAGAATTTAAGGATAGATGAAAAACAAGAGCAGATACCTTACTAATAACATCCAGTCAAGAATGCGTGGCACGAATAGAAAATTTAGAAAAAGAAAATCCGACAAATTGATTTTTAAACTCCTGCTTCAGTAATTTAAATTAATAGTATTAACAAATATTACTAGTATTAATTTTCGGTAATTTGAAATGCGTGTTCAAATCTGATATGAAACATTTTGTTAATGTCTTTGGCGTTCATATTCTGCGAATTTATATGTTGTAATTATAGTATACTTTTATTATGTAGGCCGTGGTGGTGACTATCTACCTATAAGCCTTGCCCATCCGCATATTGTCATTCATATTTACTGGGATTGTTGACGTGATTTGAGTTAGCCCTTATGTTTTCCATTTTTGCATTGGTTAACCACTTGTCGGGGAGCGATAATTGATTGAACATCGGGTTGTTTTGGTGGGCGTATTCAGAATATGCCAAAAAGTGCGGGGGGCACCCTATGACTGGATGCATCTGGGTGCGGAGGGGCAAGGCCTGGGAGGTTTGGGGTTCAATTTCCGGAGTAGGGGTCCCGCAGTTTCCCTCACCCCAAAGCGAATAGACGAGCAGTGACCTTTTGGTCCAGCCGCTCCAACCTCTCAACTGGGTACCTCGCTTTGGGGCCTGTGGAGGCCACGAATCTCACCGGTGTTTTTTGTGTTTGTTTTTGTCTTTTTGTAAGAAGCCAACACCTTTGTGTTTGTTTGTCTTTGTGTTTGTTTGTTTGTTTGTGTTTGTCTTTTTGTCTTTTTGGGTCTTCTCAAGTTGATCGTTTTGAAGGAAACCCATTGGAGACCACTTTGTTTGGGTTCACTCGCGAGAAGACCCACATGAGTCGTCACACAAGTCCGTGATAGACGTTTCTTTGGGGAGGATGAAAAGGGCCCACCCAAACTCCGCGACCCGGACGGACCAATCCATATGGGAAATCTGGCTGGCGGTATTTTGTGAAGTTCGAGCATCTGCAGTTGACGCGGGCTTGTTGTTTGGAAAGAATAGCTAGTTTCCTTGAAGAACCAATAGTCCTGTTTATTCATTGGGGTTGCTTTGTGTTCTTGCATGTGTTACGCAGGAGATGCGGGGGCCCACCCACTTGCAATTTGTTCATGTCCTTTAATGCAAGCGACCAAGCATAGTGTCAATAGCTCATATGACCTAGGCTTTTGTCAGACGACGACTATAGATCCATGGAGCACCACTCCTGATTTCTGAGGGGTCCATGAAGGGGGCGGCAGATCCACGGCAGTCAAACACATTGCGGGTGGTACATACTGTGGATGGACAGAGTCCATTTCGCACCAGTTGGGACTGGTGGTCTGTCCCAGCCATCCCTGCTGCGAATTCCACTGGGCTCTTTTTTAGGGGAGCCCCTTGTTTGGGCTGGTCAACAGCGGGATCCACAGTTATGCGGTTTTCTCAGGCTGGGGGTCCTGTTCAGGTTGGTTTTTGATTCGCCAAAAGGACACCCTCGCCATGTTCGGCGGTCCGAATTGCCGACGCTTACCCTCCGCGAGCTTCATGTGTCCGCTCGATGTTTCGGGGTTTGTGTCGGTTTGGACGATGTTCCGTTTTGGAATTGGCAAATTCTCCGACTCCATGGCCGGCAACGGGTATCGTGGCCAGAGTCAAAGATCTCGCAGGTCTTTCGTGAGGCGTCCAAAAGTGGAGAGACTTCCTCCTCTGCCGCCTCCATGGAGGAGGCCGGGGGGGTTGGGTTGGGTTCGGAAATCAGAAGGTGGAGAAGGTTTGTGTCGATTCGGTTTGACCTCCAAAGTGGGATTCCTTTGGGGTTTCGCTTCAAAGCAACATGAGCTTCGGTCAAGACCACTGAGTCGTCCATGTCCTTTCGGGAAAGCCTTTGTCAGTTTGCCCATGACTCAAATGAAACGAAACCCTCAGGCAAGACTCTTACGAATTGGAAGGCTTTGTACGTGTGTTCTCTGTCAACATATGAGCTCGAGTGCCAAGATGGTAGGTGGATAAAGCAATTGGTGCAGATGGGTTCATAAAGTCAGAAAAGGGTTGCCCAGCGTTTGTCGCATTCCCATGAAGGCACGGAGGAGGGTGGGTGGGTGAACCAATGCTTGTTGTGGTTGGGTTGATTCGGGGTGTTTTGGTTTCGATCCAACAATCGGAGCCCGTACCGCAGGAAGATGTGAGATCGAGGCGTGTTGGTGAGTTGCTGGTGCTTACCCTTTGGTTTCCCTTGAGCCACCATGCTAAAGCGGTGCGTAGTATTTGGACACCTTTGAAATTCTGTGCCCCTCGACAGTTTCTGGGATTCTGAGGTATCAAAGTCAGAAAGGGGCTTGGACAATGGCAATCAGCCAAGGAGTTTATAATTTTCCCGAAGAAACTCAGACCCAAATAGGACAAGAACCTTGCCAAGAATTCGGCGACGCGCGCGTCCTTTTTTTTGTGGTCCCGAGTCCCAGTGCGCGGCATGAACGTCTTGACCCTGGATCCAAGTCATGAGTCTGTCTCGCAATAGGGACATCCCCCGTTTGATGGTGGTTCAAGGGAATCCCGTAATCTTGAGCAGGGCTGCTTAAAAGATACATTTTGCAACCATTTGAAACATGGCTTTTTTGAACCAAAATAAAGGGAAACCACCATTTGCAAGGCAATGTTCAGGTGTATAATGTAAGGATCCCTGTTGAGAGATGGATTTCAGCGGTAGGCAAGTACAGAAGCCTGCCTTGAGCCAGGGGTGATGCTAACACAACTTCCTTTTCTGCTTCACTGCAATCCCTTGTGAACCAACCACATCCAAAATACATGCAACCGCCAAAAGCCCTTGAGAAAAAAACGGTCAACTTCCTAGGCTTCCAACTTGTTCCCCTTGCGACACTTAGGCATCCGCTGCTTCTTCACATCCCAGAAGACCCGGTTATTCCCGCAGATGCCGCAAAGGTACGAGACTCGCACCAGGTTCTCCTTTCTTGCCCACCGGAAGATCCCTCCTGATTCGAGTTCGCCTGAGTCCATCGCCAGGGCGCGTTTCCTTTCGCTTGAAGCCAGCCGGAAAATCAGCCAAAATCCTTCGTCAGCTCCGCGCCCGATGGTTTGAACTGGTGAGGATTTGTTCCGAGTGAGTTCTGATGTACAAAAAGTCCAACCACTCGAAGTTTACAAACAAAAACACCCTTTTTACAGTCTCCCCGAAAAAAGTAAGAAACAAAAAAAGACACAAAACACACACACACAGACACAGACACAGACACAGACACAGACACAGACACACACAGACACACACACACACACCCACACACCCACACACCCACACACCCACACACCCAGACACCCACACACCCACACACCCACACACACCCACACACCCACACACCCACACACCCACACACACCCACACACCCACACACACCCACACACCCACACACACCCACGCACACCCACACACCCACACACCCGCACACCCACACACCCGCACACCCGCACACCCGCACACACGCACACCCGCACACCCGCACACGCGCACACGCGC